AAAACAACTGATAGCTACTACTACTACTACCACCACCACCACTATACAACAACATCGTTCGCCGAACATTGACAAATATCAACAATCTAATAATAATAATAATAATAATAATAATAATAATAATAATAATAATAATAATAATAACAACAATAACAACAACAACAACAATAATAATAATAATAGAAATAATAAAAACAACAACAGAATCAATAACAGCAGCGTCAATAGCCACATTATCAAAAACATCTAGGCCATTAACGTACTATAATAAGATCGCAACAACAACAACGACAACAGACAACAACAAGATGTATGCAACGTTATACAAAGAGCCACTGATAACAACAACAATTCCAGCAGCGACCTCATCGGCAACAGCAGCGACGACGACGACGATGAACGGGGGGTACCAAAACATGGGTGGCTTCACATTCGGGGTGCCAAACAACACCACCACCAACGGCAACGGAGGAACATTGAACTTTTTTCAAATTCCACCATCCTATCCCCGAACACATCTGACAACTGTCGTGGAAAATTGCCAACAGCAGCAGCAGCAACAGCAAACGGTATCTGGAATAATTATATCTGGAATAATTTTGCATGTCTGTCTGTCGATCTGCCTGTCTGTCTGTCTTTTTGTATATATGTATATGTGAGTGTGTTTATTTTATTACTTGCATTTGACAGGCAGGAATCTGTTTGGATTTGAACCCGGTAATCGTAACTCAGTACCAGGCATTCTTACCGTTACACCAACTCGCGCGTTTGAGTTGTTGCGTGTGTACGTGCGTGACTGAACTAAATCACGCACCATCCCCTCTCTACGTGCCGTTCTATTTTTATTACTCCTGAGCTGAATGCATCAAATTGATGAATTTGTAAATTGAGAATTTTAAGGTGGGTGACCCAATAAATATAGTTGCTATGTTTAACGTGGCCTAATAAACACAACCGTCTGTGAGAATGTGTTTGTCTGTGTGTGTATGTGTGAGTGTGTGTGTATGTATGAGTGTGTATGTGTATGTGTGTGTGTATGTGAATATGGGTATATGTGTATGTGTGTGTATTTGTGTACGCTTGTTTAATTTTGTTTAGCCTTACAATGTAGATATATTTGTTTACGTTTAACACGTAAACAACAACTGCGTGTTCGCTATTGCTTATATGACACAATTTTCATACACAACACGTCGCAGTGTAATGTGTGTTTGTGTGTGAATGTGTGTGCGTGTGTGTGTGAATTTGTGTGCATGTATGAAGCATGCATTATTTAATCGATAGAAAACTTGTTAGATGTCTCAGATGTCTCAACCTACCTATTGAACGCCTACCAATACAAAAATTTGATTTTTATATGTTTTATGTTTTTATGTGAGTGCGTGTGTGCGTGTGTGTGTATGTGTGTCGACGTCATCGCCATTATATCATTCTCTTCTTCTTCTTCTTCTTTATCATCATCATCATCATCATCATCATCATCATCATAACCACCACTAACGACAGAAGCAGCAGCAGCAGCAACAACAGCAGCA